GTCTTTGTTTGCACCATATTTCGGTCGAATTATGTTTTTTTTTTCTTTTCTTTTTTTTTTTCAAACGGTAAAAGGTTACAACATGAGGTTGAGATGAGACCACGCATGTAGCCCACGAAGTCCAAGGCTGCTGGGCACATCATTCAAAGTTTCAAACCTCAATCCAACAGCAGAGGATTCAAAAGGTCCCCGCATTTAACCAACGAGGGGTTGGATTAAGTGATAAACGGTTTGTTTCAGTTTAAGTAAAATCTCGAGTTCGAGATCTTGTGTACACAGCAGTCCCCGCTGGGAGACTTACTCACCATTTCCAAATGCGCGGCGCGGGTCAAGTCTGAATTAATCGAGGTGAAGCTCCAGACACCGGATAAGAAACCCAAAAAAAAAAAAAAAAATCCCCGCATTTGTGCTCCACATGATTTTTTTTTTGCCCATCTAATAATTATAAATTTTATATATATATAAAAGGAACAAATCTCTTTAATAACTAAGTCATAACTTCTTAAATTCTCCACATGATTTCATTTCATTTTCCCCCTCAGAGTTCCTTCATTTCCCCTAATATTGCTCCACCCTTTTTTTCACTACTAATTAACAAATAAGATAAAATGATATAAGAATAAATTTTTTATATAACTTTTACGAATTATTAAATAAGTTAATATATTTAATATTTTAAATAAATAAATAAAATTAATTATTTAAATAACATATAAAATTATATAAAAAAAATTATATATATATATCATTTTACAACAAATAAATAAAAGAACCTCATTTCATCAATTTCAGAAATTACCCTTAAGTCTCTGTATTTATTATTTAGCTATAAATATGTGAGAGTGCTTGAATTGACTAAATTCATTGAATTCTTTTTCAAAAAAAAAAAAAAAAAAGGGGAAATCTTTAGAGTTGTACGGATTTCATGTTCTTTCAACGTTTTTCACCATCCAAATGCAGAGGCAGCAGAGCAGAAAACTATGAATCAAAATCGAAACGTCGCATCAAGGATTTGACCCAAAATGAAAAAAACATCCCATCTAAACATTGGATACCACCTTAGATATATTCTCGTTCAACAAGCAAATAATATAAAAGCACACCAAGCCTGTGGCTTAATTGGTTGGCCCTCAAGCTTTAGAGTTTGGGTGAGGTGGAGGTCAGGGCTTCGAGTTCTGCCACCGTCGTGAACTCCACCAACTTACGACTTAATAGTCGCGCGCTTCAAATGAGGGGGGTGAAACGTTCACTTTCCTAAAAAAATTTCAGCTGCTAACAAACTAACTCTACTAACTTCCTAATCATCTACCTGGTCAAAAAAAATAATAATAAATAAAATAAAAAATAAAAAATAATATAAAAGCACAAGTGGAGGCTGACGCTCTCCTTGTAAAGATAACAGGCAACCCCATTAATAATTTTTTTATTTTTTAATTCCTTGTAATCGTGTTAAATTTGAATTAATTTTAAATTAAATTATATTAGATCTTATTAAGAAAAAATTTTCTTGGTGTTTGTTTGTCCATTCATAATATTTAAATTTAAAATTTTATTTATAAAAAATTAAATTCTTTTTATTTAATTTAAGAAATAGTTAATACCTCATTGAGAGTTTGAAAAAAGAAAAAGCAGTTTCTTTATCTCAAAATTTCTTACAATTGACCGTTTGTGCAAGGTACATGTTCTTCTCGTGTTTCCATGTCATGTCATAAAATGTACCACCTCATTTTCCAGCCCTTAGCGTAACATTTCTCTTTTCCTTTATTCAATGTGAATTTCATGGTTTGTTTCATTGTTTCAGTCTTAAAAAATATGGATTTTAAGCAGATTACTTCTACTGGACAAAGGGTTGCTTTCAAGTTTCGTCATGCATTTAGCTTTCAGACGTTACTTTAGTCATTTCAGGTTGAACTTCCTAGCTTATAAAATGTCTGGATTTTGTCCAACTTTAACCATTTTAAGTAATTCTTCTTGAATTTCGAATTTAGCTGTGAAAAAATGAAAACAAGTGACTTTCCTTCTCATTTATCCTCGGTATTATCCTTTTGATGTCTTTTCCAGATTCAAATCATATAATTGGAAACAAAACAACGGCATGTTAATGTTTTTGTTTCTAATTTGAACAGTACCGACTTGGGTTGTCTTGTTCTGCGGTAAATGTGACAAATCTGTTGCGGTTTCTTTATGAATCTGGGATAGGTGTTGGGCTAGAAAGTTGCCAGATGTTGCATAAACTTAAGGGTTCCATTGTCATTCTTTGGTTAACTAAATGGTTCATCGGATCGGAGCCAAAGCTGAGAAAAAAAGAGTTGAATTTGTAGTTGGGGTTTAGCTTTAAGTTCACAAAATCATAGATTTTCAATGAAGTTCGTAACTTTTGTTTCTTTACCTTGATTTCTGTCAGCGTTTCTGTGTTTGCTACTGTTCAAGAGGGTTTGGGGGGTATCTGGATTTGGCTTTAAAAATGGGGCATTCTGGAGCAGTTTGGGATTACAGAGCTGCAACTGAGATTATAAAGGATTGGAATGGGATCGATCAGGTGGTGGTTCGAAACCCACAGGGGAGTTCAGTTAAGGTGAGACTTTCGGATTTCTTCGTTCTTCTCTCTAAATCTTTTTCAGTAGAAGCAAAGAATTCAACTTTGTTGCATGGTATGCTATAGGTTAGCTTATATGGAGGGCAAATCACCTCTTGGAGGAATGAGCAGGGAGAAGAACTTCTATTCACAAGTAGTAAGGTTTGGTTTTCTAATTTTTGCTTTCCTTCTTAAAGCTTTTAAAGGCTACGTTTTGTTACAACTCACTCATTTTTTCGCCATTTTTGATTTTTAGTTTATACCAATCTTATCGAGATAAATAAACCAATTTGCTTTGTTGAAGTTGAGGCCTTGAGGGAGACTGATTCATTCAGCTGTATTTTTGTCAAATTTTAGGCTATTTTTAAACCCCCAAAAGCAATGCGAGGAGGAATCTCTATTTGCTTTCCACAGGTGAATTTTTTCTGTCATATACGTATTTATAATTCAGTATCTGTTCTTGAATATTCCTGCTTATGAAGTCTGCCTTTTTATGATTGTTTAAAGTTTGGAAACTGCGAATCGTTACAGCAGAATGCATTTGCTAGGAACAGGATTTGGACAATTGATGAAAACCCTCCACCCCTTCACCCAAATGATTCCCATGGAAAATCCTTCATTGACCTCCTCCTCAAACCATCTGAAGAAGACCTTAAGTTCTGGCCTCACAGGTATGAATGTAGAAGCTTCAATATCAATCCCATTTTTTAAAAACATACTCTAGAATCTAGTATTTATTTCTGTAACATGAGAGCCTCAGTAATACATCCTTATGTTGCTGATAAGGCTTTTGCATTGTTTCCCTCTCCTCAGTTTTGAGCTTCGTCTCAGAGTGGCAATTGCAGCAGATGGAGACCTTGTATTAATATCGCGAGTTAGGAACATAAATGGGAAGCCATTTAGTTTCTCTTTTGGGTATCATACTCATCTATCAGTTTCTGACATAAGGTAATACCAGGTTTTTGGAAAATTCATTCTATATAGAGCATCCAAGAAAGTTGAGGAATGCTTCTAGTTGTGTCCCCTGGGTATCTATCATTCAGGATTGTTAGAATGTTTTTCATGTCTTTAACAGTGAGGTAAGGATAGAAGGTTTGGAGACACTTGATTTCCTGGACAACCTTCGCCAAAGAGAGCGTTTTACAGAACAAGGAGATGCTATTACTTTTGAATCAGAGGTAGTAATGCATCTCTTACTCAAGACAGGAATTTTAGGTGTCATATACATGCAAAGCTAACCGTCATCTTATCATATTTGTTGTTTAAATTTCAGTCAGTTCTTCATGCCATGAGTTTGCTTGATATATATGTTCTTGAAATGTGTGACAGATAGACCGAGTTTATCTGAGTTCTCCAAATGTGATTGCTGTCCTTGATCATGAAAGGAAACGGACGTATGTTGTCAGGAAAGAGGGACTACCAGATGTTGGTAAGCACATCAAAGAA